CATCAGCGGGTCCACACAGGAGAGAAGCCATATAAATGTGAAGAGTGTGGAAAGGGTTTCAGTTCAGTCTCAAGCTTCCAAAGTCACCAGCGCGTCCATACAGGAGAGAAGCCATTTCGATGCAATGTGTGTGGGAGGGGCTTTAGTCGCAGCTGGTATTTTCAGGATCACCAGAGAATTCACACTGGGGAAAAGCCATACAGATGTGATGTTTGTGGGAAACACTTCAGAAGTACCTCAATCCTTTACACCCACCAGAGAGTCCACACTGGAGAGAAATCCTATATTTGTAAAGAGTGTGGGAAAGGCTTTCGTCATGCCTCAAGTCTGCAGGTTCATCAGAGTGTCCACACTGGTGAGAAGCCTTTCAAATGCAATGTGTGCCAGAAACGGTTCAGTCAGGCCTCGAACCTTCAGGCGCACCAGAGGGTTCACACGGGGGAGAAGCCCTTCAAATGTGACACATGTGGGAAAGCCTTCAGTCAGAGGTCCTATGTCCAAGTCCATCAGATAATTCACACTGGGAAAAAGCCATTCAAGTGTGAGGAGTGTGGGAAGGAATTCAGATGGAGCGTGGCACTTAGTGCTCACCAGAGGGTCCACATAGGAGAGAAACTGTTGTAGGAGGTTTTTCTTCCCGTCCCCAAACTCTGGAAATAAGAACTCATGAGACTCAGTTATTATTTACAAATACCTTGGCCATAGAGCTAGGCTCTTCTCTGACTACCTCATAACTTAAAATAACCCATTTTACTAATTTATATTCTGCCATGTGGTTGGTTACCTGAACTTTGGCACCAAGCGTCCATCTTCACATCTTGGCATCTGAATCTCGAGTGCCTATCTCTATCCCAGAATCCCTTCTGCCTGCTGGAAGTCCCACCTATTTCCTGCCTCAGCTATAGGCCATAGGTTTATTAATTTACAGGTGTTGCATCCATACAGTATACAAGAGATTTCTTTTACAAGAAATCCTACATGTGTCAGTGGTGTGGGAAAGGCTTCAGTTAGGCTTTATACTTCCACACGCACCAGAGGATCCACATCTGTAGTGGGCCTACATCTGTAGCATCTCCTCTAAGGCTTCAGTCAAAGATCACATCTCATCTACCACCAGAAGTTCCCCATTGCAGGGAATCTCTAGGTTTGTTCTGCTGTGAGATGGGCTCCATGCTACTGATTGTTAAAAGCTCCCCAAAACCCAAAGCTTTGGGAGACTTCACATGGGACTGTATCTTCTTTTTGTGTGGGGAATGCGGAAATAAGCCTTATGGAAGCCCATAGAGAATGGCGACTGAGACACTAGTGGCTGCTACGGGTCCTTGAATGATCCTGGTCCACTGCACATAGTCCTATGAGGGACTCCTAGCACACTAGGGAAGTCTCAAAATGGATCCAAGACCAGGGTGGTTACCTCTTCCCCCTTTACAGAAGTCTCCTGAGATGACCATACCCTCCCACACTTCCTTATAGTTACGCCAACCTGCTTGGTTTTTTTGGTGCTTGGGGCTAGCATGGGATGGTGTGATTGGCCCTTCAGTTCATATGTGGTGTCTTATTTACACTCTACTGCTCTCCTTTTAGGCTTATTCATTTTATTTGATTTTTTAATGTATATTTGAGTGTTTTGTCTGCATGTATGTCTGTGCACCACATTCATTTGTGGTGCACATAGAGGCCAGAAAAGAACATCAGATTCCCTGGATGTATAGTAACAGATGGATGTGCAGGTGCAGCAGACTTAACCTAGGTCCTCGGAAAGAATGGCCAGAGCTCTGAATTGTTCAGACATCTCTCCAACCTTCACTTTTTGGTTTGGTTTGGTTTGGTTTTTCCAGACAGTGTTTTTCTGTGTAACAGAGCCCTGGCTGTCCTGGACTAGCTTTGTAGACCAGGCTGACCAACTCAGAGTGGTCTAACTGTCTCTTTCTCCTAAGTGTTTGGGTTAAGGGCCTGTGCCATTAAAGCTGGTTTATTTTTTAAAACTGCATTTTACACATAGAAGCTGTCCTTTAAATTAAAAAAAGAAATTAAACATTTCTCTCTGAGTGTGTATGTGTGTTTGTGACTTAATCAATGGCATGACTATGGCAACTCTTATGAAGAAAAGAATTTAAGTGGGGCTTGTTTACTGTTTCTGAGGTTTAGTCCATTCTCATCATGGTGGGGAGCATGGCTTCCTGCAAGCAGACATGGTATCAGAGATTTCACATCAGAATCTAAAAGCAGCCCAAAGAGGAAAAACCTTTCTCTGGCTTTAGTATTTGAAAATCAAAAGCCCACCCCCAGTGACACCCTTCCTCTAAAAAGGCCACACCTCCTTGTCTTTGTCATGCCTCAACACTTCCTGTGGACCAAGCATTCAAACACAGGAGCCCGTGGGGTCACCCTCATTCAAACCACCACATTCCACTCCCTGGGCCCCACAGGCTTGTAGCCAGATCAGAATGCAACACGCATTCAGTCAACCATGAAAGTCCCCACAGTCTATCACAGGCTCAACCCTGTCCAAGTCCAAAGCTCAAAGCCTCATCTTAGACTCATGCAATTAAAAGGAACAAGTTAACTTTACAGGTTTCTTTATGAGTTCTATACCCCATATTAAACTAAGTTCTCTCAGTACTTTTCCAGAAAGCAGAAGGACGTGGATGAAAAGAGAAGCAGGTCTTGAGACAAGACCCACCCTGTTGCAAAGGAATGCCAAAGGTCTCCACCCGCTGTGGAGGAGTGTCCAGATCTGCAGTAAGAGATAGAGTTGCCTGGCAACCGGTCCAGCTGTCCGGGCACGACTCACTGCACTTGGCTGCCTAAAATGAACCAATCATTATAAAAGTCAACCACCCTATAGCTCCTTCACTCTTGCACCCCCCCCCATGCTTCCAGTGCTTCTTTTTCCTTTAAAACCCCGGGCTTCTGTCTCTCGCTGCTGTAAACCCCGGGCTTCTGTCCCTCGGGGCTGTAAACCCCGGGCTTCTGTCCCTCGGGGCTGTAAACCCCGGGCTTCTGTCCCTCGCGGCTGTAAACCCCGGGCTTCTGTCTCTCGGGGCTGTTCCTCGCTGGTTTGGGGGCAGCCACACCGCGCAGTGGCTTGAATAAACCTCTTATGTTTGCATCAATTCAGTCTCCAAGTTCTCTTCATCTGACTTCCCGGGAATTAGGCTCCTGCTGGGCCTCACACAATCCCTTAATTGTAACCCCCTGAAATATCAAAATAAGAAACCAGATCACATAATCCAACATACAATGGCACAGACTATATAATTCTAAAAGGGTGGAAAGTGAGCACAGTGAGGAAATACTGAACCAAAACAAGAACTGAAACCAGGAAAGCAAACTCCAAACTCTGCATCTCCATGTTTGATGTCAAAGAGCTCTTCAGATCCCTGACTTTTTCAGCCTAGTGGACTGTAATACACTTCTTTCTCCTGGGCTGGTTCCGCTCCCTTTTGCAGCTTTCCTTGGCAGGTATCCCATGCCTCTGGCATCTGTAACATCTTGGAGTCTCCAAGGCAATGCAGACTTCACCTTCACAGCTTCAAACAATGGCGCCACTGGACCTTCATGCAGGGACACCCCTGCCATATGGCTGATCTCAGTGGCTTTCTTTAGCTGCAGGAGTTTCCGCAACTTCTTTTGAGAGGTTCAGAAACTTAGAGTTAATTCCTGGGACTGGGGCAAAATCACAGTCCTTTCAGAGCAGAGGTCCAGCAGCAGTCCCCTGCCCAGATAAACCTTAGAGTGTAACTAGGGTCACGTAGCCCCTAAGAAAGCCCATGGAATGTGTTAACTCCCCCTCCCACTTGCTACAGCCTAACCTGCACGTACGTGGGGGGAAGGGGGTCAGGTGTCCCCCAGGTAGCCAGACCTAACCGTTTGCAGTTTTGGCGCCTAAAAACAAACCAATCATTTTAAAGGTCAGCTCCCCTAGAGATCCTTTCACTCAATTCTGTAATGACAAGACCTACACTTCCCTGCTTGCGTTTTGACCCCTTAAAAACCCTGTTCCCCCGGAGCTGGGGGTCACTTGCCCCTTTGTTCTTGTAAAGGGCAGCCACCCAGCTTGAGTTTGTAATAAAGGACCCTCATGTGTTTTACATCGGACTCAAAGCCTGTTGGTCATTTGGGGACTCGCAATCTGGGTATTTCACTTTCTTGTGTCCTTGACCAGGCAGGTAAGTGGAGCCACCAGAAACCTCAGCACTGCTTCTGCTCTTCTGTGGAGTGCTTCCTTCCCCCAACAACCTTTTTGTTGTTCCCTGCTTCAGACCATTGGCCTCCCATTGCACTCAGTAAAATGACTGGAACCGCATCTTCCTAGAGCCTTACACTCCAGCTTCTGATCTCACCCCAAATTTTTTACCATGGTCAAATGTGGCTTGCTTTAGAATGTGTGCTCTCTTTCTTGTAGCTCTTTGTTCCTCAGAGTTCTTCAACTTTCATTTTTGATTCTGGTCTCTAGTTAATTTTTCCAGAAGGAAATGAGAACTTGGATCTTCAATGTTCACATCCTTGCTGCTGTCACAATACATTATTTATTCTCTCAGGAGGCCAGAGTCCAAACAAGATGGAGATACTTCATGGAACAGGATTAATGTGCCTTTCTAAGGTATAAACATATTGTTGGAGCTTTCTATGCCCACTGTAGCTGATAAATAATGACATGCTATTAAATTTATTAGTAAGTTTTAAGCACTATGGCTGGGAAGATACTCATGTATTCTATTCTGAATGTGCTGGCCTGGCTATTTCCCAGCCATGTGCTCTGTTACCTGAAATCTTAATCTCACCCTTGCTGCTCCTGCTCCATCCATGTCATCATGAATCCCTCATGGCTACCTCTTCATGGCTACCTTCTTATGTTGACCTGCTCATGAAGACCTCCTCTCCTTGACATTTTTCTCTCTGCATCTGGGACCTCCTAAATGAAATCAGAAGTCCTGCCTCAACTCTCCTCATCTGCCCAGCAATTGGCTGTTCAGCTCTTTATTAACCAGTCAGAGATGATGGAGAACAATTGTTATACAACATTGAAACAGGTGATGCTTCATAGAAGTGACAGTGCCCACATCTGAAATGCAGCCAACTCTCTGGACACAGAACTAAATATCAGAAATTGCAAACAGTCCCTATGAGGACTCTAATGCCCCTAAGACAGTCTGTCCCTGGTTTCCATTGCAAAGTTTTCCACTGGGGGAAAAAAAAGACTTTCTCATTTGTTATGGTAAAAAATGACACAATTTATCAAACTTAAAACAGGGCAGCCCTCAGCCCTGACATTAAGAAGGAAAACTGTTTCCATAGAGGCTCTTTGGGTATCAAGAATCTCAAAGGGCTCTCACCCAAAATATCCATTAAAATAGATAGCAAACCACTTAAATTCCTCATTGAAACTGGGGAAGACAAGTAATTTTGAGAAAACAGGGGATTCCACAAGATTGTCAGCTAATTCCTGGGCGCTAGCTATTGGGTATAGAGGGCTTCTCCCATACATTTATCATGAAGCAGGCCTACAGATGAGAACACCCTGATGGAGCTACGGGTCTAATGTGCCCTCTAGCAGCTAACATCACCACCAGCCTTCTAGGGAGAGCTACTTTTCAAGGCCCAGATGGGGTGCTTGCCATTCAATCAGAAAAAATTTACATCAGGATAGATGACCATACCTATAAAGAAAACTATACCACCAAAGCCTTAACAACTCCCCTCCAAATCACCCCCAACTCTAAGAACGACTGTTAAGTTTAATAATCCCAGCCTTGATTGGCCTTTAAATGAACCCACCTGGGAAGAATAGTGGCCTCTATTGCTGGAGGCCACTGGCAAAGTCGAATGATTCTTGAGTCTGGAGTGAGGATTACAATTAATAAACCAACACAACACATGGGACCTTTCCATGAGGCTCTAGTGGAAGATAGACACCTTGCTTTATTCCAGATTCCTTTTAAGCCAGAGCAAAAGCACCTCAGCACAATGAGTAAATTCACAAGGAAGTCAAGCAAAAGGAGTGACTTTGACAAGACATCCCACCTGCTGTCTCAAACAAAAGGAGATAGACTTGGAAACTTATCACTGACTCCAGTGAAGGCCAGGGTGAAACCTGTCTTTCCACTGAGATCTAAATATCAAAGCAAGCTGGTAGACAGCAGCTCCCAACAGCTCCCTTTTTTATTTTTTTGAAAATTGACCATAACTTAAGAGCTATGGAGCAGAAGATTGTGCCTGTCTTAGGTTGTCTGTCTTAAAAGATATGTTTTTACCCATCATTGGTGCATGAATCCATCATTCATGCCCTGTCTTAGGTTGAACATTTTTTAGAGAGATCTTAACCATCTTTGACTACCAACCTCTGCCAGGGTAGACAGTCGGGTTTAATCTTATACAGATCATATCAGCTTTAACA